GATCACTCCAAACAGTATGACAAAATATGAATTAAGATACAGGGGAGGGTGCAGTTAAGGTTGAAAAACGTGCAAACCAGAGGGCAACTAATGAATAGCTACCAAAATTCCACAGTTTCAGTACAGCAGGGGTGGTGTTCCACCAAGCACCACAAAGGAATCAGAGTTCAATCGAAAAACTCCAACACATAGAATCACTCAATCGAACCAGAATAAGGAACACAATCACCAACAGTCACCTCCAGTCACAGCACTATACCAAGAACATCCAAAAGACTCCAAGGATCAAAGTATCAAGAACTAGGGTTTTCACGATTTCAAGAGATCCAAGATTGGAGACTGAAAATTAATTTTCCAGACTCCAAATCTCGATTGAAGCCTCAAGAGTAGCCTACTAAGGCTCTGACCACTATTATATAAAGAATTTAAGCACAAAGTTACAGATCGAAGTATCATCTCAAACCCTATTACATTCGAATCACCCTATACATGAAACTATGATAATGACCATTTAGCATCAAAGCTTCATAGACAAATAGGCTCAGGACATCAATCAAAAAAACCCTTTACACTGTCAGACCCAGATCAATGCAAAAACCCACCACAATCAACCAAGTAACACTAAGCTACTTCAATGAGACCAAAGGATTCACACTAACCACAAAGAAGGCCCTACGAGCACAATAATTTCACAAAGAAACGACTCAAGAAACAAATTCCTCAACTAGCTTCAGACAGAAGAAGATGAAGAGAGAAGGGCACTCAGAAAACTCTTGAAAACGAGAGAGAAAACCAAAGAATATAATGAATCTGAAACTCTTGGAAACCCTCAAAATATCAAGACCTATAGATGGGGTTAGTTATCATCCAACGGCTCAGAGCAACTGTAGAGTTTAACTTAATCTTGGACCGGGTGGGCCGAGAGCCAATCATCATTACCTTTAAGTGGACTGGATTTTGGTATCACAACCCACACTATTTTGTCATTTTTCCTAATTTCTCCTTTTCAGTTTTCGCGGGTTAAAAGAGACCCGCCAGCCATACGCGCGCAAGAACCCAATCCAAAATCTTTGAAACAAAAAGAAATAAATAAATAAATAAAATCCTCCACCCTTTCCACAAATGACACTATGACAGTAAAAAGGAAATCTAACAAATCTCCACCAAATCCCACAATTCGAAAAAAATGAGGTTTTCTGAACTTGATTCCTACATCTAGAGAAAAAAAATAAAATAAAAAATCAATCAGAGTTGAAACTTGAAAAGAGAGATGTCAGGGTACAGAGCAGAAGATGACTATGATTTCCTCTTCAAGGTGGTTCTTATAGGGGATTCTGGTGTTGGCAAGTCCAACTTGCTTTCAAGATTCACAAGGGACGAGTTCAGTCTAGAGTCCAAATCCACCATTGGTGTAGAGTTTGCCACCAGAAGCTTGAATGTTGATGGAAAGGTCATCAAGGCTCAGATTTGGGACACTGCTGGCCAAGAAAGGTGATCATTGAAGTAATTATTTAAAATGTTATGATCTGCCCTTTTGCATCTTTATTTACGTACATTGTTTAGTTTCTTGGCGTTTGTTATGATAAATTAGATAGCAGAGATCTTTGCTTTCAGGAATTGATAAAATTTGATTTGGTTCTGTGTATGCACCTCCAATTTATGTGCTTAAAAGTATATAGTGAACTTCGATGGTTCTGGATGGTTTTGTGTAAAGATGAAGAATGCGTTGCAGAGGATGTGGCATAATTTGAAGAGATCTGATTTGAGAGAGAACGACCTTTCAGTTTTAAACTGGAAATGGTTCTTGATATGGGGTAGGGTACTGATAAAAAAGTTTGAACTTGATTTTAAAAGTGGATCATACTTTGTCCATTCGATAGTCTTGGTTTAAGTGTTAGTTTGTTGTTTGAACTGATAGATCTTAGTTTCTTTACTGATTCTCATGTGTAGTGGCTCTATTTTGTAGAATCACGAGCTTGTTGGTTTTGGATTGTATCTAGAACTTACTGAGGAGGTTGTTCGTTCTTAAGAGATCCGTGTGATGGAGTTCTTTACTTATTGATGCTAATTTTATGTGCAATTCATTAAAGTAAAGACTGGATCCTTCTAGTGTAATCATTCCTAGTGCCAACAGTTTGAATGTAATTGCATCCTGCGGTTGAAATCAAACACCAGAAATTTCTACAAGTTAAATATATTGAAAATGATGGATCTAGGTACGGAATCCATCTACATAGATCTTCCTTTAAATTACTGACTACTTTTAACAAATATATTCACTCACAAACATATGTAATGTTTCAGACACTAATATAATAGAAACGACAAAAACTGTTTTTGAAACTCTATCTTAGAATATGGGAGTCATTGAATGAAAGAAGTAAGTTTCTATGGAAGAAACTATACGACTACCATGCATTCACTTGGAATGAACTTCCTAGAAAATACTTGTTTGATTATTATTATTTTTATAATTAAGGGAGAGAGAGCTAGCCTATGGAAATGGGTTTGCCACAGGGAGCAATTCATTACCTTACTCTTGAGAGTTCTTGGATCTTTGGTGCTGCTAGAACTCAGGAGACTAAGAGGTCTTCAGTATATTGTGATCAGCATTGCATCCTCAAATAGTTTAAGGGAATAATACTACTTCCAATTAGGTAAACTCACTTGCATCAATATTAGATTGAGGTGGTGAGGACATGAAAACATTTGTATCCGCAAATAGTTCAAGGGAATATTGCAACTTCCAATTAGGTAAAATTACTCACAGCGATATTAGATTGAAGTGGTTAGGACATGAAAATTTTGCATCTCAAATAGTTCAAGGGAATAGTACAACATCCAATTAGATATAATTACTAACAGCAATATTGGATTGAAGTGGTAATAACAGGAAAAACTGGGTTCTGTGAGTGTAATGTAAGTGTAGTGGATTATCTCTGTTAGTGATTATTCTTCTGTAGCTATATTATAAATTGATATAGGGGCATTTAGTTGAGAATAGTAGCAAACAAAGATTTTTAAGGTTTTGCTATATAAGAATTTTCTCTTTCCACATATATGGTGCTTTAGAAGAAGAGCAAGAGAGGAGATTTAGCCCCTATTTGACACACATTCTTTCAATATTAATTTTCAACCACACATTTTTCAATAAAATAATATTTTTATCCCATCAATAACTTTTCCTTACTTTTAACTGCATATTTTACATCATATCATTATTTAAAATACATTATTTTCTCAATAATATTCATCGAACTTTGCATGGCCTAATCCTTTATCCGAAATTTTTTATAACAACTTTATTAGGTTGAAGGTTCCTTTGTCAATGAGATTGAATAAGATTATAGAGATCATCGAAAATTGAATAAGATT